TTTTTTTTTTTTTTTTTTTTTTTTTTTTTTTTTCAGTGGAATGCAGTGTGGAACTGTGAGCAAAATTTTTCAGATGGTTTCACCGGCTATCTGCATTTTAACAACCGCACTGTGCCTTTCAAGTGGGTTTCAACAGGGCTATATCGCTAACGTCTTAAATCAACCGTATGTGGCAATTGAAAATTTTATCAACGCATCATGGATTCAGCGGTACGGAAAACCAGTGGAACCAAACACTCTGGTAAGCCCGGGCTTACTAAATATTAAACACAGTGCGGACAATGGTTTTTAAGCAAGTCATATTTAATTGTCACGTATTCCAAATTCTTTTTTTTTTTTTTTTTTTGCAAGTCAGTATTTAGGGAACTAGTAATTTTTGAAAACAACTTTCGTTCTGCTCGATATTGAAATTGACAGTTTTTTTTGTAAATTATAAATAATTCAATGAAAAAAGCATGCTGTGAGGCAAGTAGAAAGTGAATAGAAGAAATGAAAAATAACTGTGACATTAAGACCGCTATAAAGTTCAATAAAGAGATGATGACATAAAGCTGACACCCGGTGGCAGAAATCCGTTACAAAGCGAACTTTTCAAATGATAACTACTTTGAATAAAAAAATTTTTTGCTATTATTATCATATTTCTTCAGTATAGCTGTTTTTTAATACCACACTTTACAGTTTCGTTCTTCATCAATCTATTCTTTCTTTGGTAAACTTCGCTATTAGCAGTTTCTTGGTCTATGTTAACCATCTATAAATTTTTTTCTTTCTTCTTTTTTTTTTTTTCATTAAAAATATTAGGCTGGTCCAGAACCAGCTTTACTAAACTGTCTAGAATTATCCAGTTTATTATAAGCTTCTTTATGAAAAAGAATGTTAAAAGTAAAGGAAAAGATGGAAGTTGCAGTGTCGTAGACAACAACTTCTATTATGTCAATCGTTATTTGCTGATTTTGTGATGGTTTTTAAATTGCAGTGGCTATGGTACAGATAATTGAGCAGTAATATTTGGTCTTAACTCTAATTTAGTTTTCACTTTCAATTTTCAAAAAAAATCTTTGATGACAACTAAACATTTATATTACTGCAGCACATTTGCCATTTTTAGCTTTTGAATCTCATCTCAGAAAAGAAGTTTTCTTATTTATGTTGCTTACAAGTGAAAGATACGAAGAAAACGAAAATTACCTCTTTAGCTGACTCTCTGTTCCGATGTAAATAAAACTTAACGAGTCTTAAGAGAATTGTATTTACAAAAAATGTTTATTTATCAGTGATGTAGTCTTTCTGCACTTGAATTCATTTGAGAATTTTAATGGCGATTGAAAGATTTATAAAAATATCTCTCTAATTTGAAATTCTTTCATTTTAAAAAAACCTGCGTGATGAGATTCTGGAACTTTTTTTAATAAGCAAGCATAAAATGCCTGTCAGTCCCAGGGGTGGGAAGGTGCCAAAAATTTTTATTTTTTCCAACTTAACAGTTTGTTTTTCAAGTTAAAAATTACTACTAACTTAGCTCTAAAAAAGAGGTAAAAAGATAGGTTTTGGTGAAACAAAAATTTCTTTTCGTTGGCTTAGAACATTGTTTCAAAAACATAAAATTTTAAAAAGAACTCAAAAATTCAAATGTCAACCTAATAATACTGTTTTTGCTTTTGTTCATACACGATGCGACTGTATACGGAACTACGGATTTTTTGAATTTGCGTTAAGAAGGAAGTTTCTAAAAATTAAAGGTTGACGAAATTTCTAGAAAAAAGATATCATTAGCAATATTTTTTCACGGCAACTAAAATAAATTTCTGATGTTTAATTTACAGCGCCCAAAAATTTTTATTTTTTTTTCTTCGTTTTCATTGTAAAGAAAACGTATTTCACTACACAAAAAAAAAACCGAACCAGAAAAAAGTGGTCGTTACAACGTTTCTGCAGTCATTTGTTTCTTGAAGCTCTTCTGCAGAAAATTTTTTGCTTGAAATTTCGAACGTATTTAGTAATGATGAAAAGATGAGTGCTTATATGAGTGTTTCTTAACAAACTAAGTTGCTTCATCGCTGAATCTTTATTGTTTAAGATCCTAATATATTCGATTTCGTCATATCGTCAAAAAATTTTCCAACTTTGAGTTTTCTGTTTACCAAAAACCGTTCAGTAACTATTGCCCAATAAAAGTAATATCCAAGCGAAGAAAGTCTAAGAAGAAATTTTGCTAGGGAGTAGTAACCACCATCAGTAACTACATCTGCTAATAATCAACTGACTGTATTGACATTTTCTAAGGAGCTACGGTAGAAATATTGGCTGCCATGATATCCAGAGTGCTATATCCGTAGTCCTAGGCAGCAGAAAAAACTCAGGGGGAAACGTCGCAAGAATAAACAAGAAATTTAACACTAGTTACCAAACGCAGAAAGTTTTTCTGCTTTTCGGCTGCTGCAACATTGCATGATTTTTGGTGTAACCTAAGGTATTGTAACTGCCGAGCAAGTGTTTTAACGTCTCATGCAAGAGTCGTTGAAACACATAACAATCTGCCTTCCTAATCCGATCGAAAATCCTTCTTAATTTCGTTGGGGTTTTAGAATCACAAAGACGAATACACTCGTGGTAATTAGGACCAGTATTTTGGCTAGAGGGCTAATAATTGAGAAGGATGATTGTTGCACAAGAAACATTCTTTCCATCACTTTCTATAAGCTCTTCTCGTCTTTTATCAAATCCAGTTTCTTGGTTTTTTTTTCATTTTTAATTCCATTTATGCTTGTAATAAAAGTAATTTTTCTACCGAAGCTTCACAAAAATGCTGTGTTATTTGCTTGCTTAAAAAACCGTTGTAACTTTGGCAGAAAGCAAGAATTCTATCTGAAATTTAGCGCAGTCGACTTTAATTTTCTGGAGCACTGTAGTCCCTAAGCAAATGCCTTTTCTGCACTCATGGCAGTTGCTGCTTTTGTTGTAGCTAGTATGTGGCTGTTCATCGGTAACGATCACTATGATCCCCCCTGTTTCAGATTTTCTAAACGTTCCCGCTACTTGTTTGACTGCAGTAGTGATAAAGCAGTAATTTCTCTAATAACTGCACAGTTCTCTAATAAAAGAAGTAACTGCAAACTTACTCTCAGAGAAAATGTGAAGAAACTGAATTTTATTTTTTTTAGATCTTAAAAGCTCTGTTTTTTTTTTTTTTGTAAATTGTGACAGGGTGTCCAGTTTTTTAGTCACGAACCAGGATACTATACACTCCATATCTGAGAAAGCGAAAAAGAATTTTAAAACATTTGATTGACGAATTCAAGAATTAAATTTCCAATTAATGCGCCCGTTAACCCAGCTTTGGTGACCGTTAAACGTTTGACAGACATCGGGTTTTGTTTTCAGTAAATCAAGCGTATTTTTAACTGGATAGCCTTCTCACTTTCCTCGTGCGACACGGCAGCGTCATTCTAGTGCAAAAGCGTTCAAAAACAAGTATCCCTCTTCCTTTGTCCTTCTGTAAAAGTCAATAAGTTGATCGATTCACGCTGCAAACAACCGCTAAGCTTTGAATTAATATAAGAATGAAATGCAAGTGTCTCAGTCAATCTTCGTAAACACAGTTTTTGATACAGTACTTTCATGGCATCATGATCGATGTGCATACTCTTAACGAGTAAAATTGGGTTTGAATGAAGTTGAAAACTGCTCTTTTGACCAAGGATTTACCTTCCAATTTTTTGATAAGAATTCGGAGTAGATTACTGCATGGATTCCACTGCAGTTTCGGTACTGATAGTTCATTTCCAAAACAACTGTTGTCGTTTGCCAGACTATTTTTTGATCGCTTGAAGAAGGTTATATATTCCTTACGGGCTGTACTAAGAAGCTCTTTTGCCTTCTTTTAATGCCTATCCCACTTATGTAGAGTCAGAACTTGCAGCAGGAATATCGTCGACTAACGTCTTCGATTTCGCAGAAGTGACGGTGTTAACCAACACTTTTGTCGTTGCATATGCCGCTAGCAGAAATAAAGTACTAACTACACCAAATGGAAAGCTCGTGAACCTTTACATAACGATAGCGTTATAAGTTGGTGATTTTCCGATGACTTTGCCTCTTGAAATCATGTAACAGCGCCGTTTTTCAAATACATCTCTGTTTGAAGAGAGGCCTCGTCGGCGTCTACATTAAAGACTTCATTGTAAACACCTGTTTAGAGAAAAATCGCACGCGGCAATAAAAATAAAATTGGTTTTTGATATGAGGTCTTATGAAAGTTGAATTCGTTACTGGCTTTTGAAGTGATTTCGTAGTCTACTTTAATCAGGTAACTACCCCTTGGCAAAGCTTACAGCCGATCTTTGTGTCTGATCGAAAAGATGCAATTTCCACAACTCCATTTTTAAACCACCGTTTTAATACTTTGCCGCACCGGCTTAAAAGTTCAGAAAACTCTTATCTACAATTCTCTGGATTCTTTAATCTTGCCGAAGCATATTGCATCATTATTTGAGAGATTCATATTTGTTTTTCTCCAGCGGGAAGATATGATGTATTGTCCGGAGAAGTCTATAGTAATTTTGTTCATTTAAAATGCTGATATCCTTTATTTTCATCAGAACTTGGAGTAGGCCCTTATTGTCAATTTCCCAAGGGTCCTCAAATGACTTATGTCTATTGTTATACCGACTAACAGTATTTCCAAAGAAACTTTCCGTCTGTTTGAATGATGAAGCCAGCTGATGGTGACCCAACTCAGGTCTGACAAACAGTTCGATCTGCAGTCCTTGCAGCTCGAACCAGAAACACGTAAAAGTAGCGAGCTTGAATCACAGTATCAGAATGCTTATTTGCAGAAACTGCTGCCGATAGATTATTTGCGCGTCTCAGAATTGTTGACTGATAGAGTTTTAAGAATAGAGGCGCCACAGAGAAAGTTTTCAGACTGCTAAGGCAATTCAGCATATACACCTTTGTTATTCTCTTCCTCTGCCCTTGTTAGCTCAGCAAAAACACCAGACAGCATTCGCTTTTACAAACTGGTTGAAAAAGTTTGTAAGCGAGGCTTCCAATTTTTTTTATTCGTTGAAAAACCAAATTTAAGTCTTTCCTTGTTGGTCTTTTGATGCTAAATTTTAAGAAGACGCTTGAAAGCTTAGTGCTTCAGCAATGTAGCGTTGTATCCCGCCTTGGACCGGACGTACTAAAATTCAGGACACCTCACTCATACTTGTTCAGCTGCTCCTCGTGACCCTAGAAAAAGAGTATTTTGAAGGAAGAAAGATGCAACCCCAACCTGTGTTAGTTGATAATAAACAATGAAAGTGAAGAAAGAATGTTGAAGATAAATAATCAAAGTTGTAATAATTGATAATGGCCCCATCGACCCCTCTTCTGGTACTTATGTAGAGATTCTCTTTCCCTCTGAATTGCCTAAGAAATCTCCTACCACTCAACAAAAATCTCTGTTCTGACCAAAAGACCGTCCGTTTCAAGTTTTTTTTAAAAACTACCAATTGCTGCACAGCGTAGTGTGCGGAGAAACATATTCCCGCAAAACGTTTAAAACAGCCTTGAAGCACCAAGTTTTATACTCAAAAACTTATCAGTTTTAAGCTTTCGACTTCTTTTCTATAGAGCAGTTTTTTTAAAAAATTTTTGAAATGTTGATGTGTGTAAATACTTGTCGGACCAATTAATGCCTACTGAAAGCAAAAAGAAAATAAACCTTGAACACTTTGCAGTTTTATCTTTTAGGCAGTATAATTTGTGGTGGCAAGTTTTTCAGAATGTAATATGGTCTTCGCTGAATATCGTTTTCCCTACTGCAGGAATACTTGGACAGTTCCTGGCAGCTTATTTGTGTCGTAGATTCGGACGGAAAAAAACTGCGATTATTTCGTCATTCATATATCTTCCTGGTGTTGCACTATCGTATTTAGCGAAGACATTTGCCCCCTATTTTGAGTTGCTGTTTGTTGGACGATTCATCTGGTCTGACTACTCTTCATTCGCAACTGACAGTTCAAATTCTTAGAACTAGTTTTTCTTGCAGGTCACTTGCGAACGGCATTCTTACTGTGACAGCCACCGTATGGATTGTAGAATGTGTTCCTACTGATGAAAGGGGACGAATGGCGTCATTGCAAGAAGTTTTCATGGCTTCCGGTATCATTTGTTAAACATTTGCTTGGGAAACCGTATTGTCTGCTGCAAATAATTTTGACTTTCAACGATTATCAATTTCTTTTTTCAGTTTAATACCCGAAAGTAGTCTAAATAAACTTTTGTCGTTTTTAATATTTGTTATAATAACAAATACTGCTCTGTTACATTATCAATTTACTGACGTGTTAACAAATCGGCTACATAGGCAGCTTGCTTTGTCAAACAGTTGGGATTCCGGTTTCAACTGACGAATTATGGCCAGATATTTTTATACCTCCATTAGTGGTATCAGTTATTGCAACTATAACGTTTTGCTTCACTTACGAATCACCACAGTATATAATTGATTACGAAAAAAACATACAGAAGGTTAGCTTGCATTTTTTTTCCCAATGGACAGTTTAATTTGATCTTATCCTCGTAAAGTTGTTTAACCTCATCTACCAATAATGATGAGGATGCATTGGGTAATAATTTAATTCTTTTTTTCTGTGCATACCTTTCTAAGAGTAAGTTAAAAAAGCTTGAAACAGAAGAAGTCTGTTTGCGGTTTGCATCACTACACAAAAACACATCCATGAAGTATTGCGCTTTATAAATCTACAATGCTTTTTTATTATCTTTTTTGAGGTTGGTACCTCATAATTAGTTAATACCTTCTTTCAAGGCCCGAAATGCGCTGACTTTTTATCATGGAAGAAAAACAACTTCTGCAGCAATTGAGGAGGAACTAAAAGTGTGCGCCGAGAACACGGTGGAAAAGACGCAGAAAAAGAAAGAAGAGAAAGCAGGATCAAGTGGGAATTTGAGCGGTTTAACAGTGATGTTTAATCCGCTGAAAGCAAGCGATCCAAAATCTAAAGCCATTCGAACTGCGGCTTGGCTTGGGGTTGTAGTTAAGGTAACTGTACGGTTCAGAAGTTTTGATAGTAAAATAATTAGTTGGTACCTTTTTTAAATCGAATTCTACTAAAAAATTATGAGAAAGAAAAATTACTTTCAGATAGCTTATGTTTTCACAGGTGCTAGATGCCTTCGAGCTTATAGTACCTTTGTCCTACATTACATGGGGAAATGGGAATTGTCTAAAGCTTTATTTTTATCTTTTGTTATCGGTTTCTTACGGGTTCCATTTACTTTTGCTCCAGTGCTGTTGGTTGAAAGAGTTGGAAGACGTCCATTAATTTATGGTTCAATGATTTTATCATTTTTTACACAACTTCTTCTCATGATTAGTGTATTTGCTGGCGAATCATGGAAGGTTAGTTGCTCGACTTTACATAAATTTAATTTGTGACTGTTATCAGAAACTTAAATTTCGTTGTAGAAAGTTAGGTAGCGCAGGTTATTGCATTCTTTTGAGTGGATAGTAGTAGGTAGTGGTACTTATACTTAATGCATTCAATGAGTTTTAAGGTTGGGACTTTCGCCGGGTTGTCTGGTTTGTTGTTGGTGAATGCATGCGGTTTGGGATCAATATCAAGGTTTTATTCGGCTGAGTTGGTTCCAAGATCACTGCTTATTGATACTGTTTCAATCCTCACTGCTGCTGAAGCGATTACGAAGGTTTCAGTAGAATTTGCCTTCTTTCCAATGGCACATATTGTAAGTTATTCGGAGCACCAATTGAACACACGATTGAGCGGTTTTCCTATTGTATGCACAACCAGTTTTCCCTACTTTACAAATATGTATAATATTTGTAAATCATTTTATTTCAATGTCCCTCTAATTAAGTTTCAAATACAAATTTGGCTTTTGGATTATCAAGCAGCCTGTAAAAAATGTGTGAATTGTAAATTGGAATTTACAGATTGGTGGGAGCTCAATATTATTTTTTGCAATTCCGACTGCATTATTGGCTTTTGTAACGTGGTATTCTTGCCCGGAAACAAAAGGCAAACCAGTTAACGAAGTCTTAGAAGCCATTGAAAAAAGGCAGAATACGGAGGAGAAACTTGGGATAATGGTCAGTAAATCTGTTCCTTCTTGACTTACCACGGAGTGGAGGACCAGATAGACTGCAGTTTGTACCTGACTTAGGAAACGTAACGGAGAAAATTTGTCTCTCAGAGCTTGTGCAGTTGCATATCAGTTTTTGTTTGCTCCATCTCTGTCACTGATGTACGTTCTTTTATAATACTGATCTACCTGCCGTGCTCTACAATTGTCAAACATTCCTAAATTGCTATGAGTTGACTGTGTTTCAAAACCAAATATCTTTGTCAGCGGTTTTGAGTGGCACGTTAAAGATTAATTGAAATACAGTTGCAATAGGTTTTCAACTGAAAAATGTGATAAAAATTAAAAGAATGATTTTAGAATTATGATTTCTGCATCAAGTTGTAACAAAAGAAAAGAAAAAAAAACAACGAGCCATGTGTTTGGTAGTGTACGTTTTTTCACTGTTATTGGATGGGAAATTCTCTAATATCAAGCTGTTGGTAGGGGAGAAGTGAGAAAGTGAAAATTAATACATACAATTTTATAGGATGAGAATGTAAATTTGGAAAATGCAATGATAAAGATTTGAAGAAAATGCAGTACAAACAGTTCAAAAGTGTGGCACACAGACGATAGCTGAGTGTTAATTACAATGAGAATCGAAACAGCAGTGCGATCAACTTTACAATTAACAGCAATGTTTCTTTCATAACAGTCTTTGAAAAAAAAAGTGCTAAGACATGTAAAAAATGTTTAATTTCGACAATTTTTTTTGTTAAAACTGATAAAAGACTAAGTTTTGTTTTGTCGATATTCCGCAGCAGTTGATAACATAAAAAATCCAATTCAATATCAATTTTTATAGAAATTTTCAAACAAGTTGCCAAGTTTGGAAGTAAAATTAGTTAAGCAAAAAACTTTTTATGGTTAAACGACTCGTATCAAATTTTTTTTAAAACTGGAAATATAATCAGAAATCTGTAGCTTGTGAGGCACCAAAAAAACTAATTCCTTTAATACTTTTTGTTTTATCTTTAATTGTTTTCCGATTTTTAAACTTGTTTCTATCTGCATTTTTCAAAATACAAAGAACATAAATCCTATTTTACCCATTTCTTTGAAGAACAATAAACTTTTTTATTTTCATTTGGGGGATTAACTAGAAATTCAAGAAGTCTTCCTTGAGCGAATTTAATATTTGAGAACGATATGTTGAATATATTTATGGAGAGAAGTTACTCAAAAATAAGTTAGTTTTTTGGTAAGGCATATCATTTTCATAAATAATAATTGACGACATTTGTCAGGTTAACCGCGAAATATAATTACTCAGTTCAACGTTTTCAAGTAATTTTGAAGCTGAGAAAGCTGCCATTTGTTGTGCATAAATTTGAAGGGCAGTATGATTAATGACATGCACATCTCTGGAAATGCCCATTTCAGCACTATTTCGTCCATACTGCTCAAGTGACAAAAACTGCAAGAATTAAGCACGCAGTATGGGTATCAATATGTTCAAACTATGTATTTCTTGAAGAAAAAAATGTTTGTTATATTTGAACTGTTTCTTTCAAATTTTAAAACTGTAGGCTCAATTCCATATTGAGCCGTGTCATTATTATCAGTGCTCGGTGTATGCTCTCCGTCAAATTGATCCAGGAATAGTTTGGACCACACTTAAAAAAGAATAACAGGATTTTGACAGATAAGTTCTCGTATCTCCGTCCACCCCACTGCAAAGATGCCGGAGAGAAGAAAATTTGAAGTCTGGAGGCTGAAGAAAAGTGGCACAAGAAGTGGTATTTAGCATGAGAGCTAAATGGTTGTTATTTCGCTAATTTAACTTTTCGTCTTGATTAGAATTTTGAAAAACATACCAACAAACCCCGTTTGACAGTAACCCTTGAAAGGGATCTAAGTTTCTCCATGTTGCCTCTTACTTTTGAAGTTTAAGAGAAACTTTGATGATTAGCAAATCTGGGGGACCGATTTCCATCACGACCCCTCAACCAAAGTCCATTTAGTAGAACGACAAGATGTCTCAGTTTTTTTTATCAGGCACTTCTTTCATAATCTGTAACTACGACTGTACCCAAACAAATTATGTTTCTTAGTTTCAGAACAGTAGGAAACAATGCAAGTTACAGCAGACAAAGTCGAACTTTGTTTGATTACCAGCTACAGAAAAGACTACAGAAAGAATATTTCGCGTTTTTTTCAAAATAAATATTTTGTGTGCGGCTTCATAGTGTTTTAAATATATCAGCTCCCAGATCTAAACCTTCACGGAACTAGCAGCTATGCCCATTAAGTGAATAAATGGGACATCCAACTACCTTCATTTTGCGGATGAGCTTTTCCCAGTATTCAAACACTAACATAATATTTTTTTGACAAAACCCGTTTGAATGCTAATACTGTTATGAAGTTAATAAATATGCTCTTTCAGTTAAGCTCAAAAATACCTTATTCTATGCTCTAAAGATGAAACTACAAGCTCTAATTGAAATTATGGCTTTTTGCAAATTTAGAATAATTTTATGTACTGTCCGGAAGGAATAAACCATTAAAGTTAGAAATATGAGACAGGGCATAAAGTGAGAGCAAAAAAAAAATGTAAACAAGAAGCACAAATGTACTGTTCAAGATGCTACTAATTAATATAATAAAGAAATGGAGAAAAACACGGAAAAATAAAATAATGATCCATTAAAAGCAGCAAACCAAAAAGAGAAAAAAAAAAGACAAACCGTAATTTGAAGAGACAATAACAGGAAACCTTAAACAAAACAATGACACGGTAAAGATCACCAACAAACAAGGATAAACGAAAATTATGCAGAAATAAAACAGCAGCCACTAAATTAATTAAATGACAATAAGAAAGGAGAAGAAAATACAGTAAGAGAAAGAGTAAAGAGTTACAGCAAAAGAAACTAAACTTTATAAAGATACAGCGAGAATGTTGAGCAAAAAATGAAGAGAAAAGAGAGATTGTGAAACGGTAAAACAAAACTCCAACTAAAGAGGCGAACCAAAGGAATAAAAAAGAAGAAAAAAAAATAGCCAAAGGCAATGAGGAAAAATGACTATGAAGATGTAAAAATATAATGATAAAAATGGTACCAAGTCGAGTAACAGAAAAAGACCACAGAAAAAGAAAAACTGTCAAAGAATAAAGTAATATTTCTGCCAAGTAACAAAACCAGAAGTAACGAGTAAAAGATGGCAGAAAATTTTTTGTTTCTCCGACCAATCATTTTTGCTTTCCTTCCCACTCCGTTTTATAACAAATTATAACAGAGAGCATGTATTAAAAAATGACTGTTATACCTCTTGTTTATACCCCATTTCCTTTTGTTTCCTTTTACAATATATTCTTCAGAACAGTTTCAGCTTCCTAATTACTTTTTTCATTCGAAATTTGCCTTTCTCTCGATGCGATGACGGCCTCAAAATGATGTGGTTTTAAAAGCGTGTGGTGCGATATGTATGCTCTACAGGGCTAATGGAAGCCGGTCTCAAGTCTTCCATATTGCAGCTTCTACAAAACTGTAAAAACATTGAGATAAATAGCAGTTAGAAACTTTTTTCTACTTAACATTTTTAAAATCGATTTTTATCAGAAAGATTTTCAAAAAATCTACACAAGCCTTAATAGCAAATACAGCAAAAAATACATGCATACCTCTATAAGTAATGGTAAAATTCCGATCCTGCTTTCTAAACTTCATTTCTTATTAAAAAATAAATATGGAGGTTGCACGTGTAAACCCTGTAGAACATAGGTAAGAATCAACATTTTCGATACTGTTATCCTGCAAGATGCAAGAAAGTATTGTTCAGAAAAACTTTGCTTAATTGCGGCAGTATCAACTTTTATCAACACTAAAAATGTTTTAGGAATGAAAGGGAACGTCCTCAATGCAGTATTATAGTTATCTGCTTCAACGCTTACTTAGTCAGAAAGCCTATAAACAGATAATTGGAGTTCTTGAGGAATAATGAGCATATACGTTCCAAGAAGTGAAACTGCCAAAAAAGCCGCTGACACTACTTTACGAAAACGACTGGTTAATCAACGGTCCGCAGCTGTCGTTACGTGGAGCAGCCAATTTTATGAAGTAATCCAATGGCTGATCGGGTAAAGGACTCAACTTTTGAGAAACCGTTTATTTTTTTGAGTATAGAGGAGCAAAACTTTCAAACATTTTAAATAAATTGTTAACATACAAAAATCATATAAGTTTGGGACGATCAAAAGCAAGGTCACTGCCATCTTTTGACACAAGTGACTTCAGTGTTAACTTTTCAAAACTTTCAAACGCAAGAAACATTGAAAAGAAAGCATTAAAAGTGCAAAAACCCAAAATTTCTTGAACTAGTTTTTCAACCGGTAAAAGTTATAAAAGGGTCAATTATCTATTACAGAAAACACTTAACAACAGTATATTTTAAACAAGGCTATACTGTTCCAAGACTCAGGTACAAGAGAGGTGTGTGAAGAAGGGTTATTGGTAACTTATTTACGTACTTTGATTATTCAACAACACAAATTCCTGCTAGGTCTAGCTGATTGAAAAAGTTCAACAGTTAAGATTCCGAACTGTATCAAATAATTCTACATTAGTTAGTTTCTAAAGATTTGGTAGCAGCAATAATTTCGCATGAGAATCTGATGAGCAACGCAAACACAATGCAATTTTGAACTCTTCAACTCACAAGTTTACGACT